CGAGGTTCACCGCAGCCGCCAGCGCCCCACCATGTCCTAGCCCTAGTCCGATTTAGAAGGGCGCGCTGTAAGCGACGGGAAGCGCTATCGCCTTCATCGCCGCCACTGGACCGCGCCTCCACGTCGCGGCTTCCTGCTACCTCGTCGGCGGCACTAGAGGCATGTCGTGCCGCGCCATGGTGAGGTCATCTAAATTAAGCAATTTACCCACTAGATCTACGCCTCCGTAGTCAAGAAATCTATCAGTGGGCCATTCGGCCAAGGTTGTTTTCCGTAGGATTGGTGAGAAACATAGACCGCGTCGAGCTATGTTAAAAAAAAGACGTAGCTTGCAGCTACTGTAATCAGAGCACGTAAAATGCTTGCTTAGGAGCTGTCTCTATACAATTGTTTTTGTATAAAAGACCCTCGATGGATACATAAGACAGTAAACTCGTTGTCTCGTGAAAGGACGATCCTGCCAGCATCTTCGTCGTCCTTTGTAACCTTCGACTCCAAACGTCGATTCGTTTGGATCAAGTGAGGAAGGCCTGGCCCCTAGTGCAACCGCGAATACAATCCCTGCTCTTTGTTGTGCCGGGCCAAGTGCCACTCGACGTGATCGGACGAGCCATAAACATCACGCTACGTCGTGGACCAAGCATGAGCCGCGTTGCTCGGGAGATGCACAAGAGATGGAGACAGTAACACCCCCAGAACTTTTATATAAGCCTCAGACAGATCTAATGGCTAAGTATGAGATTACGCCTAACCTTTTAAGTATATACAGTCTGTTCGCTAGATCGTATTTAACTTATAAGCTATGGCTTATTAGCCAACGAACATTATTTTTCTCTCACACCAAACCAACCAATAGTATTTTTAGCCATAGCTTATAAGCCAAACAAGCCCAAACAAACAGGACAATAGTCTAAACAATGATTTTTTGAGTGGGGTCTAAACAATGATTTTACATAGGAGAATTGATGACGATGAGCCCGGACAGCAGCCCAGGGTCATTGGGCCCTAGTCCGCCCGTGGATGGAGAAATAGATAGTAACTAGAAGACTGGCGCGGCTTTGCCGCACCCTCCGTTGAGGACTAGTCCAGGATTTCTAGGTGTGACAGTGATTTGTATAACTTAAATCATCAGTACAATAAGAAATTTTATTGTAGTACCATATCATAGGAGATTTAGGTCTGAACATTCAAAGGAAGGGAAATTTTGTCTTAGAAGCTGAATACAACAGCTGCACCTGAACTGCCTCCAAGCAAAGTCATGTTCTTTTGTTTAAGATTACAGACTGCTGGATAAGGGCATGCAAGTTTGTCTCAGCACGGGTCACCGTCATCACCGAACCGATGACCGAACTCTTTGACATGAAAGCTGTAGGAGAATTTAACTGGTTGTTGCGTCTGCTCCATAGTCCATCATAGATCACCCATTGCAGGAACAAGCAAGAGTGACAAATTTGTCAGTTGTCACACACCTGAGCCGCATCCTACTTGATTTGTCCGGATAATTACGAATCACTACATAGTAATTAGAGAATTTGTCGGTCATCCTGAGTCCTCTCTTCAAACCAAGGACAATTTCATGGCTAAGTACATCGTGCCTTCGTTCTTGAAGAGCTGATTTGTTCTCTTGAGGCTTGCTCTTCTTGGGACACCTTTCTACTTTCACTCCAGATTTTCGCTTTGAACATGGAAAGTTGTTGGATCTGAAGAATACAATTTCACGGATTCAGACCAAACAACTGTGTAAACATCTGAAATGATCTTCTGCCAGCACGTATAGTATATGCTATAATGGCATCCTTGTAGGGTTAATATTAAGTAAATCATCTAGTATCAAGCAGATCAGGTAACATTCATACAATATGTATAACGAATTATATTCAATGTGCAGATCAACAAGTAGCACCTGATAATGAACTGACAAAGAATTGCTGCATCAATTACATGAGGCCCAAGATACTGAAAACTGAAATGCGTGGTGACATCAGCAGTTCAGCAATTTGCTTTTACCATGTATACATCATGCAAATGAAAGATATTGCCATATGGTTGCTGCCACTCTTCGATTCAAAACTGTTTGGTTAGTAGTTGCCTTGGTAATTGCCATTTCACACCTATGGCAAACCGATAGTTTTGTTGCAATTCTATTCTATTAGTTGATATGATTATTTCAGATAGTTCTTTAAATAAAATATATATGATGAGCATGATTAAGGGATATCAAAGATGATATATGAATAGTCTGACAAAATTAAAAGGAACAAATAACTGAAATAGTATTTGATCTAGTTGAGTCCTATGGAAAACTGGCTGCAGCCTCTAGCTAAATTTACACAAGACAGTGGCATTGGCATTGCCGGTATATATCTAGTTTATATGTATGCCAAGCATGCTTCTGTTCAATATTATCTAATTTTTATTGTGGTTTGTTGTATCCTAAGTATGCTTAACTTGGCAGCATGGTGTATTTGCAATCTTCATTGCCTGTTTTGTTTTTGAACTAAGGCAGCAATTTCAATTTACTGGTTAGTCAGTGATAATGTCATGCAGCATTGTGTCTGTGGCCAGCCATAGCACCACAGAGCTGAGCCTGACATGTGCGACAGTGCTGGATACTGAAATTCAAAGGATAAAGGATCTCTGCAATTTGCTTGCAACAAATCGAAGGATGGACAGATTACCTATGGAGATGGAGGGTTGAAGACTTGAAGCACACTGTTTGTACCTGTCGGCTCAAGTATTTGGGATACTGATGCAGCACACATTAGCATGATTAGTTGGGGAGTCAGCGGCCTGGGGAGGGAGGAGCAGCATCGATGCCTGGCTCATAGTCATGCACATCCACTCACCGTGCCGGCGCTATGTACACACCATCCACATGCTCAAATTGTTAGTATACCGAGACCATCAATGTGGGATCAGCCCATTTGCCTGCACTACATCTTGGGTAGAAATGATTGTATACATATTGATGTAAATAATGCGTATAAGATGGTTCTATTTGTAGAAGAAAATATAATCCTGACAACTCTAACTATGTGGCACTAAAAATTGAGAATGTAACTACTTCATTTGCTAGATAGACAGTGAAGCGTATTAATTTATGTAAAAGGCACAGATAATTTTGGACTAAGGAAAAACTGAAGCATTGATTCAAGGTGTGTCTGTAACTGAGAAGAAAAGAATAAACGGAGTTTTCTTATGTAAAGGTATTGTACCGCCCTTTCTGAGATTGCAAGTGCACTTGCTTGCTCACCAGCAAGGACAACCGTAAAAGAAAAAGAAATAGGGCTGATACACCCAATACTTTTTTTATGCTGTATTGAACGGAGGCCACTTGTGCAGGTTTGTTCCTAGAATCACATACAGACGCATCAACAGAGACAAGTAGGTAGCAAGACAGAGAGACGATAACCAAGAAGGCAGTAGCAGCAGCAAAGAGATCAGAATTTTTTTCAAGGCACCACCAGTGTGAAGTGCAATTAGGAAATTAAAAGAAAAGGGTAAATCACTTAGTGATGGGTGTCTCTGTGCTGCTAGTTTTGCTTTGTTTGTAGCGGGGTGACCCTAAATTACTGATCCTTTGTGAAATTACAATGGTGTACTTTGAAATTTTTTGTAGGTGAGCATTCAATAATTTTGATACTTGGCCTCCGATTGGATCTCCTGAGGAACCTACATTATAAAATCAATAAATTTTCTTAGAGGCATTAAATCAATGTCTAAGTACATGGAAAAAACGAATAAGTATATCACACATGGCTCAAATAGGCACATAATGCATTCCAAATGTGCAATATCCTCCTGCTCTCACATTGGTTTCATTTAAAGAACAATAATTGACATACTTCCCAAATCAAAACATATTTGGCGCCCTCCTTTTTGCACAGGGGGGGTAAATCAGAACAGAATAGCCCTAGCTGATGATAATTTGACGAAAACTTTGGAACAAATAGCAGTGGAGGATATTAAAATTAATACATATAAGTAGAAAAACAAAGAATATATCTAAGCAACACATACATGGCTATTCCTTAGTTTGTAGAATTCTTTGTCATGTCAGGGACATCGAATCCTTTGATCATGCAGTGGGCGAGCTGGAGAAGCTGTTAGCAAGTTCAGAGAGGCTACGGATGGTGAGGTGACACAACATGGAGGAATGGGGAGCAATTCTGTTGCAAGAGAAGTTGGACAACCAAGAGAATTACAAAATGGATGGCTGAGCTAGAAGCAAACAACTCTTGGAGTTTCAACATCAGTTAGTGAAGATTGCTTTCTTGTCTAGATCCTATAAATGTAAAAAACTGTTTGACCTGAAATAACAAGGAATTTAAGCTTACGGTACATATATTTGTCTTTGAGTAATTATGAGCAACAATTCCTACTTATCTGCAGATGCTTTAAGGCACAAATATTACCAATTGTAATGTGACACATTTTAGATGGATATCAAGAAGAGCACCAAAACCTAGCCCAAGCTATAATATAGGCAGCAGGAAACATGAATTATTCCATTAGTATTTTCGGATATCGGGAAATATCCATCCTATTTTCACCCTAGTACATATAGGTCTTGATATGAAGTTCTGTAGCAACCCAGGCATGAATTGGAAAAAAAATACTGGCAAGGACCGAAGTTGGTACTTAAGTTAATTTAATAAAATGTGTCCCATGAGTTGTCTCACATAAATCTGTAGGAACTAAAAGAGGTGTATTATCTATATAAGATGAACATAAATCGTGTCTCAAATCCTCTAGAATGGTGACCGGAAGAAACATAGTTTTTTTTTAGCTGAACAAACTATAGGTTCTTTTATTATTAGCAGTTTGATAGAACATGCATTTCCAGTATATCCAAGGAAGCTACTTAACTTAAACACTGTCTACCAAATAAACACTGGATCCGTTTTAGGGTTTAGCACACATCAACATCAAAGGCCCACCCTTCCTTGCTATCATCTCCTGACCTCCCTGATTTTTGCAGTGGCCTCTAAACTGTTCTGTCAGGTAGAGCTTGTGTGGGGGCTGGAGCGGATCAAACCCATTTTGTCTGCAATATCCAACTTCTTTTTGGCATATTCATAATAGGTCTTGAGCCTTGGAACAATTTTTCTGACAGCATCCACGATCAACCAATAAGCTTCACCTTCTTCAAGATTTTTATCTATGCCAGCCACACATGTTTTATAATTATCACTTTCTAGCTCAGCTTTCACTTCAGCCCACTGGAAGGGCCACATGGCTTCGTCCTTCACTTCATCCAAAGCATCTTTGAAATTCATCTTCTGCTTAGCAACCCGTTTCCAGATCTCAAAATAGAGACGAGCATAAAAATGATCAGTCGTAACGCTATACAAAAATTCCATTAAGAAAGGACCAAGTAACCTCGAATAAATTTGGGGGCAATCTGCTCTAATCTTCGCTGCGTGATAGTAGGTGACATGGTCCATTATCTTCCGCTCTTGCAGTGTGAGTTTGTGGTAATGTTGAAGCCACTTGGTTTTATCTAATAGCTTTTCCCACAAGCAGAGAAATTGTTGATCACTCTCAAGTGTACTACAGGCTTTGTTATAATAAAACCAGTCTTGGTAACCATAATCATGGAGAACTAGACGCTGGTAGTCCTGGAATCCAGCAATCTTGCAGCGTTTGCTGTTGAAGTACCACTTGGGATTACGCTCGTAAGGTCGGAAAGGCCCATCTTTTTCGAGCATGGACAACAACTGTTCATAGTTCAGCCCAGAACCCTTGTGAGCTCTGATGTGACATATGGCGAGGCGTTTATGGAGTTCTTCAGTCTGTTGGTCATCAAAGATATTCCAAAACTCATCATCTACGTCAGGAAGGCCGAAGTAACGACCAAAGGAATCGGTTTCCTCCTTGACATCAGCCTCGGTCCAATCAAAGCCTTCGACCTGCTTCCAATCAAAGCCTTCAACTTGCCCCGCTCCTTGTTCTGGTCCGGGTTCAGTGTTGATCACAGGAGCAGTCATGTCGACACCCTCAGAAGCAGGTGCGCTATGGACCTTTGCCTTCTTCTTACCCGTCCATGTGCCTGTTTTCTCACCCACCATGGCATCTCCTGTTTTCTCCACCTTTGCCTTCTTCTTACCCGTCCATGCGCCTGTTTTCTCACCCACCATGGCATCTCCTGTTTTCTCCCCCACCATGGCATCTCCCCCGATGGTCAGAGGAGGAACGCGGTTTGATTCGATTACAGAAAGTCGAAGGCTCTGTCGCCTCTCTCCATCAGCCTCACCACCAGCAGCCAAGGCTTCTCCGGATCCGGATTCACGCAAGCCGCTAGCTCCGCGCGCAGGACCCCGTGCCGACATCAGATCCTAATCCAAGTAGAATCAGGAAACCCTAACCTCGGGACTTCTCCGCGATTCGAGTAAAACCGTGGACGGGTAAGGGATTGGATTGGAGGAGAGCGTGGGGACTGAGTCGGCGGGCCGGGAGGCGGCGTCTGGTTTGGCAGGCGAGGATGTCGGGATTGCTTTGGGAGAGAATTGCTTATTTGGACACCGGAAAAATGAGCCGTTTTTTTTTCTAATTTTTTTCATTTCTTATTTGATATTTACTTGAACTTTCATCTCTAAAATGCACCGCAGTCAAATCCGTCAGCTAACGGTGTTAAGTGGTTGTTAAAAAGACCTTTTTGCCCCTGGGTCAAAAACATGTTGACAAAAAAAAAGAGAGCAGCCAGCGGCTCAGATACGCTGCATGTATGCGTCCGCGCCTCTGCATGCGCTGCATGCATGCACCCAACGCCCGCTGCATGCATAGGCCAGCACCCAGGGGCAAAAAGGTCTTTTTAACAGCCACTTAACACCGTTAGCTGATGGATTTGACTGCGGTGTCATATTAGGGATGAAAGTTCAAGTGAGTGTCAAATAAGGAACGAAGAAAATTTCAAAGCTAAGAAAGAAACGACTTATTTTTCCAGTGTCAAATAAGGAATTCTCTCGTTGATTTTGGGATCCGCCGGGCAGCATGAGAAAACAAAAGAGGCGGCCGCCGCCGCAATGTCGGAAGAAACATAGTAAACATAGTAGAACAGTACTGAGGGGAGGTTTTAATATTTCTCCATAAAAAATCCATTGGAATTTCTATTTGTAGACAGTTGTTTTTATCTTCCCATGGCTCTGATATGACTGATGCATACACAATTTTATTTGAAATCAATGTTATTGTAGATCAATATACTCAAAACATGCAACAATGAAATTTATAGAACATTTAAATAACTGGATGATGGAATACGACAGTTTGTACTTCAAATCTGATGTCGTATCTAGGAGGGGCATTTAATCGAGTGCCTTGCCTGCATGTTCTGGTAGAGGAAGATGAAAAAGCACATATCGAAGGAGAACGCACAAGCATGTGACTTGAAATGAATTCACGGGCTTCACGCTGGCTGGAGGTTGACGGTTGGCGAGCGAGTCGGGATTAGGCCGACGGCAAGGTACGTAGCCGAATGCTGCAGCGTAGTTGGGGAAAGCGTGGTGGAGGTTGAGCCGATGCCCGCACCTCCAGCCGCGGCGGGGTCGCAGGGCCCCCTGGTGCCTCCGCCCGCGCCGGGATGGGCGGGACCCGAGTGGCCAGGTCCGCCGCTCCCGCACCCCGCCTGCGCTGGGGTCGCGCGGGGCCGCTGGGGCCCTCGCCCGCGCCGACGGGAGGAGGGAGGTGTGGGAGTCGCCGCGAGCGGGTTCGCGAGAATTCGCCACCCTCCGACCCGCTACGAACCCGATCGGACGGCCCATATTATGTGCTAGCCGGATCCGATGGCTTGCGGTTTTGCGGGCGACGTAGCCCTATCTGTTAACCCGCTTTTGGTGCAGGAATCATATCTAGAGACTAGAGATTAAGGACCGAGAGCATGTGTAGTCGTGCAGAAACGGATCATGGGCGAGAGATCGACCAAAGGAGATGAGGCCTCAAAAAGTAACGGGAGAGAAGATAGATGTGACTATGCGGGGAAGAAATAAGGACAATGTGGTCTTTCATGTGTTTTTAGTTATTTTAAGTTTGTTTAACCTATGATGAGATGTCTTTCATCCATTTGTTTTCGCATATTTTCTGTATTTTATTTTATATAATCTATGAGCTAGTGATACCATCGTACAAAAAGCACTGCAAGCAAAAATGACAAATACGGAATCACGGATCAGGTCCATGCTTGATCACTATGATTTATGAATCCATGAATGCATCAAATAATTTGTTGTTGGTTTGATTTTGAATTGTTTTATTTATGTGAAATTCAGTTGGTCTAAAGAATTATTGTATTTACATCCATCCTAAAATAAGTGTCGATATGGTATTCGTGCCAATAAACTTTCTTAAATTTGATTAAGTCAACATTTATATCTCCAAATAAACTTATTATAAAAATAGATTCAATGATCTATTTAACGATACTAATTAACCATGTACTATAAATATTAATATTTTTCTGTATATATTTAGTTAAAATTAAAAATATTTAACTTCTAAGAAAGCGAGAATCACACTTATTTTGGGACGTAGGCCTTTCTTCCAATCGTGCGCGCGCCCCGGAACTCCGTCGAGTACGCACGCCCCAAAACCGACTCTGGCCCAAAACCGACTCTGATACGAGAGCGCATGAGTCTATCCCAAAACCGAGTCTGATAGCACGTGCGTGACGAGCCCCACGGGCCACGGTGAAGAAGTGACGGTCGATGTTCCGCAGCGCGGTGGCCGGGTAATGCGCTCGTAAGGCTACGGAGCTTCCCGGTGTAGTTGGCCACGAAGCTGGTTGTCTGGTCTCGTTGATCTGCGGAAGATCGGCGCGAAGACTGGGAGGTTGTTCTGGGCTCGAGATGAAGAGCCGGAGGGCCGGGCTAGGGTCCTCGTACTCAAGGACGCCAGCGACGGTGGTGTCGTGGAACGTGCCCTACGTGTGGTGTACGGCCACGCCTCCATGTAGTAGCTCGTGACAGGTACGTTGGCTTGGTGATGAGCTGAACGTTACTGGTCTGCCCAGCGCGATGACGAGGGTGTCCACGGTAAAGGGCTTGACGTAGAGGGTGTCGATGTAGACGACGGTGGGCATGTGGTTGGCGACGATGGAGAAGAGAAGTGCTCGATGTTCAGTGCGGCGTTGATGAGCTGGAGCATGTACGGGCTTCACCTTGAGTTTGAACACACAAAAATTCGTGACTTCATGCAACGTATGGGCATGCATCTAGTGCGTTAAAAAGTCTATAATAGATGGTTAAAAAAACTCGCAGGCAACTCAGGATGGTACATACTCGCATGATAAGGTGCCCCACAACGCTTGCAATTTTTTTTTCCCCAGAACCAGAAGGATGCTCGGCGAGGCCACGAGGGCCGTTACGACTCACACGTACATGAGATTTGTCTGTCTCGCTTGAGTACGATGGGAGAAGGATCATACAGAGACACAGATACTAGTTAGGCCGGCTAGTGACGACACGTACTATACGGTGATGTGTAAGCTTCTACTAGAGTTCTAGGGTGATGGCCTTGTACACGCGAGAACCATGCCAGCAAACGTGGACCTGCAGATGAGCCGCGCCTTAAAAATGGAAAATGTCGCCATCGAGACGGCTGCTAGCGCCTAATGCTACTAGCTATACCCGCGATTACTGTGTTCGGTTGTTTGCCATCTGTAGTTAAGTTGTGCACTAACACATGATCTAAGGGCGTCCCAACAGCTAGTTATTTGGCTAGCTATTCTGACATTATCGGGTATCAGTATTAGGGATATCTGAAGAAGGGATCTGAGGACCGCGGACGATAAACTCGCCTCGATAATCGAGGATGTATTTCAGTCTCGATCGACCCTGAAGGGACGGTTTCCGTCTCGCCCGACCCCTCGGGCACGGGCCCCGTGTCGCCTGACCCCGAGGGTACAGGAGCCGTCTCACCCGACCCCGAGGACGCGGGCTCCGTCTCACCAGACGGGGATCCATACCTCCTTCAACCACTACGGGTCTAAGGGTACGAGACCCCATGGTCAAACTTCTGACACCGGGAGGGAAGCGGGCACGTCTCGACGTGACCCGTGGCCAAGTCAGGCAACGCCCGGGGGTTCACATTGCCAACAGTGACGGGTGCGTGGTCGCTGTGCTGCCTAATCCCCGTACGACCGCTGGCAGACATGTCGGTTCACCAAGCTGTCCGTCGGGACGGAATGGGACGCCACGACCAGCTAATGACGTCGAGGCATGACACCAGTGGTGAACAGGAGCCCGACGTGGAGCCGTCCCCATCACCATCTACAGCGTCGGTGGAACTCGCATGAAGGAGAAGAAGGACGCGGTGGCCCTAGAGGCCTTCTTCTCCCTCGCTTTCCCCTTTCCTCTCTTTCTTTCTCTGTAATATGCGCCTTCCTCTTCACCTATAAAAGGGGAAGCATGACGCCCCATGAGAGGGGGGAGACACGGCTGAACGAGCTCAAGAAGACTCAACTCCATTCGATCTTTTTACCAGAGACTTGGGACCTTCTCCCTCTCTCGCTCGTTTGTAACCCCTACTACAAACTAGCGCCGGTAATACGAGCAGCAGCAGACTGGACGTAGGAACATTCCGTCCGAACCAGTATAAATCCTTGTGTCCTCCGAGCACACCATCCGGGCCAGACGCGCAGATATAAATTTACTAGTTGGTGATCCGAAACACCGACAAACATGGTCATGGAAAAAGTAGGAGAGAGAGAGAGAGTAATCACTAGCGACAAACAAATAGCTGATCTATTTCACGTGGTTCAAGAAGCTGAGAGATGAACACGTGGGTCTAATAGTACATAGAAAAATAAAAATGTATAAAATAGTTTTTGTTTTTGTCTCTTACCTTCACGTAAGCTAGCTATGTTGCTCGCACCATTGTGGACGCCTAATTCGTACTAGTACCTTTTACTAATAATGCTCTTGACCGTGAGCATGCGTATGGTCGCCATCTCATTTAGTTAGAGGTATTTTAAACGATTCAAACATAAGAGGTGCTGATTATATTAACTAGCAATTACAAGGAACAATATGGGTTAAAATAGTAGTTCATATCATCGCTGGACATCAATTATTCTAACTCGTATAAGCATAAGTCGTATAAATACAAAAGTCATGATCCGGATCATACACAAGATACGAAAGGTGCTAGGTGCGAGGACAATTTGGAAGGTAAAAAAATGTGTGGGAAGAAACTATTTGCACTTTAATATTAGATAGATATATAGAGATAAAAATAAGACAAAAGAAGGCAAATTTAGAAAGTAAAAAAAAATGAGTGGGAAGAAACTATTCGCACTTTAATATTTGATAGATGTATAGAGATAAAAAGAAGACCCATATTAGACAAATAAGTGAATAACGATACCAAAGAGGTCATAAAAGAAAACAACGACGACTACCGTAACTAGAGTAACCCTGTCAACAACAACTAGCTAGAGTGGTAGACAGGAGCGAAGGGACCGGAAAAACTGACGCGGTTGCGCGCACAAGTGTGCTACTAGCCTAGTGCACATATGCTGTCGTGAGAAGCAGAGAAATGCTGGAGAAAAAGAAGCCGGTTCTCCCTTCTCGGACGTGCACGATTTTGGGTCCAAATCCAACGCTGTCAAATCAAAAGTGTTGAAGCATTTCCACGGATTGTCTCCGCCAGCCCAGCCGTTGTAGTTCTAGAAATATTCCCCGACGACTGACCCATTCCAGAAACAACGGGCGCCAACACCGGCCGCCGTAACCCCACAACACATTGACACTTTGCACTTGCAACCTGTCTCTCGATTATCCTCGAACCCAACAGTAATACGGGGGCAGTATAAAGAGCGACGTTTTTGACTTGCCGCTCGCCACGCCAACGGAAGGCAAGTAGGCAACCAACATTTCGTCTCCCGATCGCCCGCACCTTCCACTCCCTCGCCGCCGGCCCCTCTCCGCCATGGACACGGCGATCGGCTCCGTCCCGGCCTCTTCCGACGCCGCGGCGCCGGCGGCGTCCGGGTCCGCGCCACGCGACGCGACGCTGGGGCGGCACCTGGCGCGGCGGCTGGCGGAGGTGGGCGCGCGGGACGTGTTCACGGTGCCGGGGGACTTCAACCTCACGCTCCTGGACGAGCTGGAGGCCGAGGCCGAGTCCACGGGGGTCCGCCTCGTCGGCTGCTGCAACGAGCTCAACGCGGCGTACGCGGCCGACGGGTACGCCCGCGCGCGCGGCGGCGGGGTCGGCGCCTGCGCCGTCACCTTCACCGTCGGCGGGCTCAGCGCCATCAACGGCGTCGCGGGCGCCTTCAGCGAGAACCTCCCCGTCGTGTGCATCGTCGGGGGACCCAACAGCAACGACTACGGGAGTAACAGGATCCTGCATCATACCATCGGCTTGCCTGATTTCACGCAGGAGCTCAGGTGCTTCCAGACCGTCACGTGCTATCAGGTACTAGCAGTAATTCCTCTTCTCTTCTTCTCCTTCTTCTTTTTTGAGTGGCGAGTAATAGTGGAGGGGCCCAGCTCTAGACGTCTGCTGACGAGTACTACTACTACTGCATTACGTGTCCACTGTTGGACCCTACAACCTATGTCTCACGTGTGGTTATTATACTAGGGCCATGGTCCCAAAAATGAAACGAAAAAGAAGATTTTTCCTTTTTGAAACGATGGCTTAAAACAAATTAAAACTAATTTCAGTTTGTTGTTTTTATTAAGAACTAGAGAAATTATTACCAAATAAAAAAAAACGGATACAAGCGCTACAGTACAGAAAGAGCGCCGATTCGGTGCGTGAACTAAAAGAAACGATGGCAACAAATTTTTCATGATTTTTATTAGAACTAGAGAAAAATAGAAAAAAACGGATACAAGCGCTAGCCAGAAGAGAAAAAAGAAGAAAAGAGAGCGCTTCAGCCGAGGTCGAAAGAAGAGCCGAAACTAGACAAACCATCGACAACTCCCAAACGAAAAAGAAAACGGCTGAAGCGCACACAACTAGACACCGAAAGAGACAACCAAGCGACTAAAAACAACACCCAAATGTTGCTTTTCTCAACTGTCGAAATTACTATGATTCTGTTGGAAATTACTACTATGATTCAGTATGGTTTCCTGCATCTTTTTGATGCTGTGGTAACTCTAAGAAAACTTACGGCCAACTTATCAGCTCACTCTTATAATAGTTAGCCTATTTATATCGTACTTATCTATCTCATAAATTATCTTAATTTTTATGCATAAGCTAACCTGGTTTCCTTCTCTCTCCACCTCTTCTTGTTATACTTGCTCTAATAGGATAAGAAAGAGGGGTATGATATTGGGAATTGGGATAGGACTGTTTATATCCACACATGTCCCGTACACACCCTCCGTATCCCTTTATCCTTCGTAATAACATTTCCCATACCCACCCTCCATCTCCCTTTATCCAAATGCCACCTAGTTGAAAAATGAAATGTTGCCTTTTCCTTTTCTGAAAGCAGAGCCAGAAATTTGCCGTGATTTTTATTAGACGAGAGAGAGAAAAAAACGGATATAAGCGCTACTTAGAAGAGAAAAAGAAGAAGAAGAAAAGAGAGCGCTTCGGCCGAGGTCGAAAGAAGAACCGAAACTAGATAGTAAACCCCTAGCAACCCCCAAACGAAAAAGAAAACTGCTGAAGCGCACACAACTAGACACCGAAAGAGACAACCAAGCGACTAAAAACAACTCCCAAATGTTGCTTTTCTTAACTGCCGAAATTACCATGATTCTGTTGGAAATTACTACTATGATTCAGTATAGGTTTCCTGTATCTTTTTTATGCTGCGGTAACTGTACGAAACTGGTCACCCTTCAGGTAGGAGCAGAATGTTATAGTCAATCTGTAAGAAAGTGCGGTAACCATATGATGCATATCTTTTCTTTAAAACCCCCTGGTTTGTTGACCACGACATATCTGTTTTCAGATAATACCATTTGCAGCCATGTATAATTACTGCAAGCACAACTTTTACCGTGCATGGTATTTACTGATGAAACATCAATTCTGGACTTCTAGCTCTTGATTGATGCATCATGCATAAGAGACTTGTGAAATTGACAGTTCAAATGCTTACACTGGAGTGCCACAACAGATGACATCCATTTATAGTAACCAAAAATCCAAAACCCTTTCTACCTTTGGTAAATATTCCATGTTTCCTGAAAGCCTAATAAGACATGCTCTTGTGGTAAGAGAGAAAGAGGAAGATAATATTCATTCTGAACCTTTTGCTAAGGTATTATGTTCTTTGTTCATATATCGCAGGCTGTGGTGAACAACTTGGAAGATGCGCATGAACAGATCGATACTGCCATCTCCACGGCAATAAAGGAGAGCAAGCCTGTTTACATTAGCATCAGCTGCAACCTCCCTTCGATCCCACATCCCACCTTCAGCCGTCATCCTGTCCCTTTCTTCCTCTCCCCAAGGTATATTTCCCCAAGGTAAAGTGATGAACAGTTTGGCATTGCTCATGCTGATAAACCTGTTCATTTTGCAGGCTATCGAACCAGATGAACCTGCAGGTAGCAGTGGAAGCCGCTGTGGCTTTCTTGAACAAAGCTGTCAAGCCAGTGCTTGTAGGTGGACCAAAGATGAGGGTGTCCAAAGCATGCAAAGCCTTTGTAGAGCTGGCAGATGCCTGCGGCTATCCCGTCGCGGTTATGCCTTCCGCAAAGGGGCTAGTGCCAGAACACCACTCTAGGTTCATTGGCACGTACTGGGGCGCTGTGAGCACTCCATTCTGTGCCGAAATTGTAGAGTCTGCTGATGCCTATCTATTTGCTGGTCCCATATTCAACGACTACAGCTCGGTTGGATACTCACTGCTCATCAAGAAGGAGAAGGCCATCATTGTCCAACCAGAGAGGGTGGTGATCGGGCATGGCCCTGCGTTTGGGTGTGTTCTGATGAAGGATTTCCTGCATGCCCTTGCAACCCGTCTGAAGAAGAACACTGCTGCGTATGAGAACTTTCGTCGCATTTATGTACCTCCGGGCGAGCCACTCTCATCTGAACCTGGAGAGCCATTGAGAGTGAACATACTCTTCAAGCATATTCAGGCAATGCTGTCTGGCAACACGGCTATCATTGCAGAGACTGGGGACTCGTGGTTTAACTGCCAGAAGCTGAAGCTACCAGAAGGCTGTGGGTAAGCTCCTCTTCGAATCACGATTTGGCTGTTAAATTTTGTAGTGATACAAAATTCATCTGTCATTTTCTTCTGTACTGTTGGTTGGTGGGCGGTAAGTGGTACCGCTGATTTAGGCCAAGTAAGATAAAAATCTGATGGATGTTGTTCTGATTCTTTTACACCACTAGATATTGAATGTTGTCAGCCTCTTTACCATAATAAAGAAATATTTCATATTATATAGTAGTGATATCAAACTTTGGTTCAGCATGTTGAGATGCTTTCAGTCATCGAGTTAGTAACCAGGAGTAATTTGCTTTCACCAGGTACGAATTCCAGATGCAGTATGGATCAATTGGCTGGGCAGTGGGTGCAACTGTAGGATATGCACAGGCTGCTAAGGATAAACGTGTCATTGCCTGCATTGGAGATGGCAGCTTTCAGGTATGATACCAAACGATGGAAGTTCTTACATTTTCTATATCAATTCAGTTCCTTGAAAATATGTGGCAATAGTTTAATTTGACTGTAATTCAGGTGACGGCACAAGAAGTGTCAACGATGCTCCGATGGGGGCAGAACACCATCATCTTTCTGATAAACAATGGAGGGTACACAATCGAGGTGGAGATTCACGATGGTCCTTATAACGTTATCAAGAACTGGAACTACACTGGTTTGGTGGAAGCATTCCACAATGGCGAGGGCAAGTGCTACACAGCAAAGGTTCGTAACTGTATGTTGTAGTACTGCAATTCTGTGGTCACGAATGCCACGCTACGACTGACATTATTTCGCATTCTCGCTCGCAGGTTCGAACTGAGGAGGAGCTGAAGGAGGCACTGAAGGCAGCTCTGGGACCTAAGAGGGACTGCTTATGCTTCATTGAGGTCATCGTGCATAAGGATGACACCAGCAGAGAGCTTCTCGAGTGGGGATCTAGGGTTTCTGCGGCAAATAGCCGTCCACCAAATCCTCAGTGAGTGCACCAGGTCTCCTGAGTTCCACTGTAAATCGATCCTCTTTCTGGTGATGTTCATATCAAGAAGTCTCGGGGAGGACATGCTGTCGATTTCTGAATAAACTATCCCTGTAATTCACTGATGTTGCAAGTTCTCGTGGCTACTTCACATAGACGATTTCAGAAACTGATCTTGTATAGTTGTATTGCTGCCAATAAATCTGAAATCAAATTTTTTTGTTCTTCGTTCTGGCCTCTCTTGAAACTTTATAAAATCTCTTCGGTCAGTCCGAAGCCTGTCCTCAACTTCGGTGCGCAAGTTTCAGCCTATTCTCTCCAGTCTGGTCATAAGAGCTCTCTCTCACCAACATCTAAACCTTTTGCAATGGTAAATGGAAGAAAGGAGTTTCAATAAACGAGGAAAATCCGTTTCTCGAGTTAGTCCAACACGTGTACTTCGTATATCTAGCACTCTCTCAGCCTGTTCGCTTGTTGGTTTCAGCCAGGTTTTATCAGCCAACCAACAGTGTTTTTCTCTCACAATAAACCAGCACCAGCTGGGCTTATCAGCCCAGAAACCAACCAGCGAACAGGCGTTAGCAACTAAGTGCATTGCTCGTTGTAAAGGCCAAAAGGGGTACAACTATTAGGTTAGGCAGTAACCCTTTCCGATTGGGCCCGGCATATAGACAATTTTCTCACGGAAAGTGAAGTCACATCGTTAAGACAGCAAATTCTGGTCTTTGAAAGAAAGCAATTTTTTTTATGAAATAGGAAGCAATTTTTCTCAACCTATGGGCAGCTGCCCATAGTTTTATAAAAAAAAAAGGCGTCGAAGAGTTATGAGCAATTTTGTTTTAAAGAAATTATGAGGAAATTCATGCATGATAAGCCCATTTGCATAGATGAATATTGGTTATGTGAAGTAGATTACCTCTAGTTCCATGTCTTCAAAGTGAGTAACCTTGTTATTTTTTCCATTATTCCTTGTTATACCATTTTTCTGAAGAACAAATTTGTGGTTCATATCTTTTTTTTAGGAAGCAGGAGGGGAGGATACCCCCTATTGGAATTGCATTAGTGTAGAAAAAAAACTGAAAGCTCTGGAAACCCCAAATGCTCAGACAATAGATAGAGCAAAAGGTAGAGTATATTCTAGACAGGGAGCCAATCAAAACTCAAAAGGTGTCACGGTCTTTCACCCAAACCCTGAAATGTCAAGCCAATCATCTGACTTTGGAGGCAGCATTTCTACATCCACATGCTACAGCACCCACACTACAGGTCTACAGCACACCCCATGCAAACCCTGGTCCCCGGGCCATGCCCATGTGGTTTTGCAGACTATTTCAGCACTAGCCACAGTTCAGGGTCCAAAATCAAATCACACACAGTAAAAGAAATCCATTTCGGGCACACAAAAAACACAATTAGCACTCACTCTTCATCTGAAGAATCTCCTACCATCTCTTACAGGCTTTAGCAGTTCAGGAACTAGATATAGCATTCTATATGGACATAATCGAGTAATGTGAATCAAGAATCCTCTGCCTCTTGCTCTGAAAGGGACTACTCCCGTATGCCGTTTCTGGGGAAGCAACCCTGGCTAACGCCTGCCTGACAGCCTCCTTCAGAGACCTGAGGCTTGCACTTGCACCTACACCTGCGGCGCCCCGGCCCTCATCCTTGCACAGTATGAACACGTGCCGCGCCCTTCCTCCTAACGAGGTCATGTCGGCCCTCACCGTCCTCAGCCTCAGGCCATGGAACGCCTGGGCGAGCCGGGCGACGAGGTCCGGCCGGTCGTCGCAACTGATCGAGGCCCTTATGTAGATGACCCTGTCGGCGCCGGCGTTGGCGTCGCCGGTGTGGAGCTCGATGGAGACCTCGTCGGTCTCCGGGGGCAGGGGCGTGCTCTGGGTGGTGGCCTCGCTTGCTTTCCTCTTCAGGAGCTTCACTTGCTCTATCACTCTGGCAAGCAAGGTGGCCTTGTCCATCTGCAGTGCAGGGAGAATGTAAAAGTAAAGCCTTTGCTTAGACGTCATAAGCATTGTACTTTGTCTTGCTATAGAAAACTCCAAAATGTGAACAAATGTGAGCGCAAAGGTTCCATTCATATGGCTTTCTTGCAAACCTCAAACTTGTCCATAAATTATTCCCAAGGAGAGACGTTTGACGGGGCGGTATCTAACACTGAGATTATGGGCGATGGAAGGATCACACGAGAAGAAGAAACGCTAGTAAAATATGAAAAAAAAACTCTGAAATTGCTCAGGTAGTGTTTCAGAAATCTTGCCAAATGATTCTGAACCATTGAGGTGGCAGGATCACACCACAAACCTGCCTGGTATCAGGAATCATCCTCCTGAGCGTAGCCAGATGAGCATTGATCCTCTCCCGGCGCCGCCGCTCGGCCTCGCTGTGGATCTTCAGGGCCCTCGCCTCCGTCGCGCTCCTCCCCGACCCCGACGACGACGACATCTCCGGCGGCGCTACCCGCACGGCCGATGGAGCCGAGCTTGCCTGCCGGGGAAGAAGAACGGGCCCTCCGAACACTGAAGGATCAAAGCCATCGTATGGCTGCAGCTCCTTCCCTTGCAGAGGTTGGCATGCAGCCATTCAACCAGACATCACCAAAGTGCCTCACCTTCAGGTCCTTTTCACTGCATTAAAGAGGCCCAGCGTGTTGAATGTGTATTTGCACCGCATCAACAGACTGCAAATTGGAAGAATTGATGCTGCAAGCATAAGGATCAGAATAACAGGAGAGTGAGATGCAGCAACGAGCAAGCAGAGAGAGAGGGGGAAGAGAGAGCTACCTGATGTTGCTTACAATAAGTGGTGCAACAACGTCTTGTCATATATGCATATGCTTGTGTGCGAGATGTGATCATCTTCTTATGATATGAGTGATGATACATAGGCGTACTGCGGTGTGCAGTGTACTCTGCTTTTTACTGGCCAACCACTCTACATATATACTACTATCTTCGTATTCCTCTCTCCACATGTGTTCCCACTAGGAAGATGGATGATGTGTGCATGCATGAGTGTGCCATGAGTAGGATATGAAGAAAAAGCCTGCCAAACGGAGGGTTTTCAAGAGCCGCCTAACAAGTTTCAGTTCTGGTGACAAGGATGCACATGACTCCAGACTGTAGTCCTATGTTTGGTAACTCAAGTAAAGATTCTTTTCACTGCTGTTTGGTGGAGTGAAAATCTGAAATATGTATGCTTGGAAGTTGGAAAGAAGCAGATGACAAGTCTATTAGTAGTAACCTGCCAAGAACTTCTGAAAGTATGGAAGACAGATCACGAGATTCCTCTTCTTTAATTGGGCGGCCACGTGGCCTGTTCGCTGGTTGGTTTCTGGGCTGATGAGCCTGTTTAATGCTTATTTGTTGTGAAAGAAAAATACTATTGACTGACTGATAAGGCCTAGCTAAAACCAACTCGCGAACGTGCTGATGCAAGAAAGTCTTCGCAATCCATTGACTATCGTTCCATGCTCTGCCCCACGAGTGAGAGCGACGCGATTAAATGACTGCTCATGAACTGTACGCTCCGACAGTTTCAGTCTTGGCATTTAGCTGCAGGCAGGCACACTTCCTCGTTTCCACGCTCCTTAACAAGCAACATCCCAGGAGAGGAGAGGCCTCTGTATCCTTTCAGACTGACTGGCTGATTTGCCTAGCTCGTTTTCTGCATATGATTCAGTTTCGAGCTTCACCAATCAACGCTCTCATCAGAAATTCAGAATGCATCGGTTTTGTATGCTATCAGGATCAGAGAGTCGAAGATAAGCACTGTTTACTCGAACTTATCCCCTGATAAACACTGATCTCTGTCGTCTTGTGCTGCCTAATTGTTTGTTTGCACCTGAAAACATGTGACACCAGAATTCAGAACCAGCACGGCTTTGAGGCTACTTGCAGAGTATTTTATTCAGACTGTTTAGAGATCTGGCACGGAGCAATTGAAATGGTTTAGCCTTTGACCAGTGAACAAGGATATGGACGAGGCCAAAACTGTGCAGGATTTAATAGAGGGGCGGTTCCCTCGGACTCCTTCCTTCCCATGGTATACTACGCCAATGCTCTGCATGTGAACCTGCAGGTCGACAAGCTGCCCAAGAAACCGTGGAGATGACTGTTTCAGAACCGGAAATGACAAACGCCCTTGTATGATTTGTTTGTCCTTGTGTCAGCCTGCGTTTAGGCATCTGAAATTCATGTGTCCTTTTACCGTGGCAACCATTGTCATTAACTGATTCGTGGAGAAATTTAATTTAGTATGCACCCAGGCCACAGTACAGTTTTTTTTTTCACTTTATCCTGTCAAAATCAGAAAACTTTGACTGTTATGACTTCTATAAGATGTTTCTTGTATGACATTAAAAAACTATACAATCATTTACATACCATTCAAAACTATATCTTACCTTTGTTATCATCGGCTTTTTATTTTTTCTTCCCTTATGTGCCACAATTATCAATTTGCATTCACATTATTCTTAAGTGAAAGTGAAAAAGACAGTTTTACCCATAGAACCTATGGAAGTTTTTTTTCCCCCTAGCCATTCAATCCTTCCATGTCATTGAACTCAGGAACAAATAATATGCATATATTGGTGTCCCTGGTTTTGGTTTGCACAACATTCAATATTTGAAAAAAAATGTAAAATTGATGGCGCTGGCATCAAGGGATGAAAATGTCTAAATGAATGACAACGAAGGAAAGCTATAATTTTCAGTGGCATGCAAGCAGCGGAAAAGTATGATAGCATAGCAACGAGGGGAAGTTATTATAATTTGCAATTTCATAGGAATGATGGGGCTTTGGATGGTATTGAATGAATTTGCTCTTACATCTATATATGCATATGTTTTCTCTAGAACATTATCTTAATCTCGTAAATCTATTCTATTTTATACATACTCTCTCTATTCACAAAAGAATGCAACTATGAGATATGTGCCGGTTAAACTAGCTCAACTTTGACCAAGTTTATAGTAAATAGTATTAGCATTTATGTCTCTAAATACAGTTATTATAAAAATATATTTTATAACTAATCTAATGGTATTTATTTTGTAACATGAATGTTAATACTTTTATATATAACTTTAGTCAAAGTTTAAACTGTTTGACTTCTCAAAAAGCGAGATTTGCATTCTTTTATGGGCCAAGGGACTATATTATAATAGAAAATCATGGTTAAAGTCACACCTTGAGAACCTCTATAAAATTAAAAAAATAATCAAGTATTTTTATATATGGGATAATTGTCTGGCGGACATTAAAGTGATGGTCGTTTGCTGGCGGACACCCCGTTTTGAGCGGTTTGTCAAGAGACACTCTAGTTTGGTGAAATTAGGCCACAGGACACCGCAGACCGGCTACAGACGGTTGAGGAGAGAGAAAATTTTGTTTTGGACATCCAGTGTCTCCGAGCCACAGTTGGGTCAGTCCCTCTCCCTCTCACTGATGCGCGGGCCCCACCTATCATCTTCTTGTTCATCCACTTCTCCTCTTCTCTTCTTTTATTGCTGAGCAGCAGCCACCGCCGTCGACTAGCCCCGGCTACGCAGGCGCACGAACGAGCTAGGTCGTCTACTATATATATGCTTGGCTGCTACGGGAACAAACACAGGATGTCAACATTGCAGTATAAACGTGCGTCGATGAGTTGTTGCTACGATCCATATCGTCCGGTCCTTTCTGCCTTCCTAAGCAGATTTCCTACATATACGTACGAGTCGGCGTTCGCGCCGCTGCACTGCCGCCGCGCCGCCGCCGTGTCGGGCTACCTCGTCCAGAGCATGGCCCGCAACCGCTACCACGCTGACTTCATCTCCATGCACGGCTCTCCGGGGGCGGCGCCGAAGGCGATCTCGCTCGACTTCCTGCCGCCCGCGCACGTCCGCATGGAGGCTGTGTCCGCGCACCGCGGCCTCGCGTGCTGCGTTGAGGCCGACACGGCACAGCCACCTTGCTACTACGTGTATCAGCCGGCCTCGCGGCAATGGCGGGCGCTGCCGAGCCCACGGGTAAGGTTCCGTACGGCGGCGGTCGCCATGGTGGCCCGGCCTTCCGCCTCTAGCACCGCGGCGGAGTTCAAGGTCGTTCGGTTCTCTGTCCTGGCGCTACAGGACCGGCTGCGCTGCGAGGTGTTCGACTCGCGGCGGTTCGCGTGGCGCCGCGCCCCGGACGTGCCGCTGTGCCCGGACTCGCTCTTCCGGCCCGCGGTGCCCGCCGTGCACGCGCACGGCGCCATGCACTGGCTCCGCTGGCCCGACCGCCTCAAGGGCGCGCAGGACGTGTTCGCGTTCGACGTCAGGGCCGAGGCGTGGCGGCTCATCGCGCCACCGAGGGAGGTGGACGAGATGGACGACCCGTGGGCGCGCAAGCGGATCGCCGCCGTGGAGGGGAGGTTGTGCCTGCTGGTGCTCACGGACGCCGCTGTGGACGAGGCGCAGCCGCCCGCGACGGCATGATAAAAAAAGAGAAAGGGAGAGAGGAGGAAGAAGAAGATGACAGGTGGGGTTTGTGCGTCAGTGAGAGGGAGAGGGCGGACCCAACTGTGGCTCAGGGGCATCGGATGTCCAAAACAAAATTTTCTCTCTCCTCAACCGGCTGCAACCAGTCTACGGTGTCCTGTGGCCTAATTTTCCCGAACCAGAGTATCTTCTGGCAAACTGCTCAAAACAGGATGTCCGCTAGCAAACGACCATCACTTTAGATGTCCGCTAGACAATTGTCCCTTTATATATAGAACCATTACATGTAAAGTTGCGCATCATGCTACTTTGGCTCTATTTGGAGCGGAAGGTGTTCTTTTTTTTATTTCATACAATGTTTTAGAAAAAAAAATCTGATACTGCAATTATGGTGTTCAGAATATTTTTCTCGAATACGCAAAATGTTTGCGCAACTTTGTATTTAAGATCGAGAAATAGTGCTTGTTACAATAAAGCGCCACAAACTTGGCACACTAGGAGGGGATTAGTGTTATATAATTGGCTGTCCTCCCTAGCAGAAAAAGATCATGACTATTACTCGCTAATCATGCTACGTAGCCATCATTGGCGTTGGCTTGCGTGGCGCCTCGCCCGCCGTCCTTGCTGTCTTTGTGAATCAGAAAAATCATTTGAAGCGTAAGAGTTGAGAAAGAAAATGTTCTTTTGCATCTTTTCCAAAGTCGCTCCTTATAGACCTCCGTTCTTGCAACTCTTATATGCTACAAACTTCCTCTGATTTGACTTGTACCCCCACAAATACCATCATTCAAAATGCCCGGAGTATTCACATATTAGTATTTGTCTGCAAGGGTTATTGGTTTGAAGCAATATGGTGCCAAACTGAAGCTGACAGAGATATCCAAGGGTGATATCAATAACTCAGATTTGCTTGTACACAGTGCATGCATATCTATTGATGCCTACATGTTTGGCTTGTTGACGCAGCCTTTGTTGCTTAAGTTCAAACAAGGGGACCATGTAATCTCCGACCCATGATCTTTCCGGATCCTTAGGATCTTTTTGACGTTCTCTGTCTATGGCGATGAAAACTGGTGCTGCCTTCTGGACGTGCTAGCTAGAGTCACTTTTCTTTTTTGACATTCTTAACAGAGTTAGTGTTGTTTGAGACTAGTACCTTTTACCATCAATTATTACCGATTTTTTTTTAATTTGGTCTTTTTTTTGAAAAATATTCACGTTTACACCTCTGGACGACGTAAACTCGACTTTGTACCTTGGGGGTCGGCGCCGAGGTAACATGTCTCGGCGCCATAGGTCGTGGCACCGAGATTTAAACCCTATACCCCATGCCGTCTATTCTTCTCTCTCTCTCTCTCTCTCTCTCTCTCTCTCTCTCTCTCTCTCCGCCGCACCGGTCACCGTCGTCCCCGTGTCCGGCCGCCGTTCCCGTCCTCGCCTTCGGCCGCCGCCCGTGCCGCCTCCTACGGCCGCCGCCCGCCATAGCCCGGCCCCCGATCGCCTCCCCGCCCTCGTCGCTGCCTCGGCCGCACTAGTCGCCCCCTTCACTGCCCGTTCTCCGCGAGCACCGGCGACGAGGGCGGGCCCCCACCGCTCCCCGGCGGGCTTGCGGGTCGGTGAGCCTTCGGGTGGCACCCCTCCTCCGCCCCTTCGCCGCCCTGTCGCCGGCCCGCACCTCCCCGCCGTCCTCCACCAACAGCAAGTAAGTTTTTTATTTAGTTTAGGTAATTTAGTTATTTAGTTTAATTAGTTAGATAGATAGTTAGGTAATTTAGTTAGATAGTGACCAAATGTAGTTAGCAAATCTAATTAGATAGTCAGATAATTAGATAGTTATTTAGTTAGGTAGATAGTTAGGTAATTTAGTTACCAAATTTAGTTAGGTAATTTAGTTAGTTGGCAAATTTAGATAGTTAGATAATGTGGGTAGTTATTTTTGTGTAATATACCCGTAATGACTTCCATGTTGTGCATACCAACTAGAATGTCAGTTTTGTTGGAATGCAAAAGGTGCCTCTGATATTCGATGACCGGCCATTGTTTAGTGAGCTGTTTGATAGGGTTTGTGATGAGCTTCATCGCAATTCAAATGAGAATGACATCTCAGTTGAGGGGTTACTTACTAGGATAAATCAGGCCAAATTTTTTGAGAAATTTGGCGGCAGTGCCGGGGGACTTCCTGCAGGGCGGCAGTGCCGGGCCATGGGTCGCAAACGGACTCACGGTAGTGGCTTATCAAGCAAAGGCGGTTGAAGAAGAAGGCACCCAAAGTACCCCTAGCGGTTTGTATTAGTATAGGAATATTCCTAGGATGTACTGTAACCGATAAGGGGTAGAATTGTAAAGAGTAGCCTTAGTAAGCAACGCCCTATAAAAAGGGGACTCAAACTCTGTACAAAGTGTGGTGGTTGAATACATTTATGAAACCCTAATCAGGCTTGGGCCCACTCTCCACACTTCATGCCTTCGCCCAGGGCACTCAGCCGGGCGAAGGCCTCCATTAGTCCTTCCTTATCCCACCTGCTGGAAATCCCCTTTTCCAACATTGGCGCCCACCGCGTGTTGGCCGAGCAAAACTCACGATGGCAAGAAAGAGAGCAGCCTCCGCTACAACTTTCGCGGAGCCCTCGATGAGGGGACGACCCAGGCGTTGCGTCCGTAGCGCTTACGCTAGCATCCTAGAAGACCAAGTTGAAGAAGAGCCCGCGACCGAAGATCAGCCTCCGGCAGGTAAAGATCAGCCAGCCTCAGACCCCACCCTCGAGCAAGTGCTCCAACAACTACAAGCTGAACTGCAGAGCACACAACGAGAAAGAGATAGGTTGGTGGCAACCTTCGCTGCAAACCAGACGGTAGCCCTGACATCATTACAGGCAACGAAGATCAGGCAACAGTTGTCAATCCTATAGGCGGAGATACAAAGCATGCAACAAAGTCAGCCCCAACCCAACACATCCAACCAGCTCCACTCAGCAAATCAAAGCCATCTTAACCCTTCGCCACAGGTATGGCCGCCCAACCAACCTTCGACACACCTTTCAACTTGCCGCCAGTACAAAGAACTATAGATTCAAGATCCCCACTGTCTGAGGGAATCCAAACTTTGCCCTAGCCACCATCTTACAAAGCCCATTACCCTACCTAAATTCAACGGAAGGTCAGATCCATGCCAGTTCAACATGAGCTTTGAGGCAGCCGTAGCCTCCGCAGGAGGAAATGACACTGTCTTGGCCAAGTCATTTATCAATGCAACCAAAGGGGATGCATTGGCATGGTATTCAATGTTGAGGCCAAGTTCAATATATTCATGGGAGGACCTCTGAGACAAGATCATCACTAACTTTAAAGGGTTCACCATCGAATCTTTGACATCAATAGATTTGTTTTAGTGCAAACAAAATCAAGGTGAAGCACTGAGGGATTATTTTTAGAGATTTGTGCAGTTAAAGCGAAGGCACCAAATGTTCCAGAAGATGTAGCAATCAAGGCCGCAATAAAAGGCCTCCGCATCGGAGCCTTCGTAGCTCATCTAGCTCGGGAGAAGCCAAGCACCGTAGAAGAATTATACAGAGAGTCTGAGAAGTACTGTAGATCAGACAACGACCTCTGAAGATGGCTAGAATAACAAAATTAGAACAAGCAGTACCAAGGAAATGGCAGGAACGCGTAGAGGGGCAACAGAAGCCAAGGCCAGTGTCGACACAGAATTTTCGTCTCCGTGCTGAGGACACACGCATCAAGCCGGAAGGGTCCGCTCGATGGAGTAGATCCGCCTAGCTTCAGCGCAAGGGTGGTCGATCATGTGCAATCCTCCTAAGACGTGCCAGTCAATTTGACCCTGCAATTGACAAGGAGAGAAAATTTATCAGTAATTAAGGGCAGAACATGCCGGTGTTGCCAGACAGTCCCGAATATGCGGCTCTGAGAGCCGATATGAGAGGAGATCGACTAAATAGTCGATTCTAGCATATTCAAAAGAATAAATCGGTTAAAGCTTATGGGGTTGTGTAAGAAGAATCGGTTATCATTCAGAATAAATATCATTTAAACAAACATTAATCAATGGCAATAAGATACCGATGATGGTCGGTTTATGCTTAGCCAATGATTACAAGTAACCGAACTCCTGTTTATATAAAGAAACAATTCAACATCACTTAACCATCTAATAAAGATAAATCTAATGAACATGTTAGATCTTATCTATCGCCATGACCAGTGGGGCATGAGGCAGAATCATGCAGGCCGTAGAAACAACAATAGACTCGATGACCCTAACTCATTACTATTATCAGTGGGGCATGAGGCAGAATCATGCAGGCCGTAATACAATAACAAGATCATGGGGCTAACATATCTTTCAACTTAGCTCTACTTCAATGATCTCGTAATGTGAACTGTTCGTGAGAGCGCTCGATATCGGCTAAACAGCCGATTCAGGCATAGCGCACAGTTAAGGTCATGCCTTCTCAGGAACGGATCTATCAACTAACGATCCCCACTCCATGGTGCTAACAGTTGGGTGAGAGGCAGAATCCCACGGGCCGTGATAACGAGCCATGGAACGGTTCACGCTAACCAATAGATCTACTCAAGATCGAACATGCCTTAATCGTACACTATGCACGATTAAGATTGATATAAAAACAGCCGATAAAAACATAACTCATCGTTTAAAATATAGATTAGATCAGTTTCAAATTAGCAAACGATGGGTTAAATAAGATATAAGGCCGATCCAGATCAATCTCAATCGGGCAGAGTGATATTGCTGTAATTAGATAAACAATGAAAGCAATAAGCGATATCGGTAACTTAATGAATCTACCAAAGACTGCCATTCAAAGGTAGAGCCGATAACTTGACCTTGATCTAATTCAAGCAGTGGGGTGTGAGGCAGAATCACACAGGCCATACTTGAACTAGGCAAGAGTCGATAACTAGCCTATACCAGAGTCGCAGTGGGGGTCGACCGGGTCGATGTAGCCATACGAACA